CACACACACACACACACACACACGTCTCGGCCTCCTAGAATACATTTTATTAGACTTTAAGCTGTTTTTTCAAAGGACTCACACCCTTGGAATCCTCCCCTGCATGGGTGGAGCAAGACGGTTTTCTTTTGACCTGTCCGTAGAAGCATCCAATGTGCCTTCACCAGACTCCCCACCCCACCTCTCTCCCTCATGCCTCCCCTTCCAAAACCAATCTCCGCCAGCTTCCCGGTGCCATGTGCACACGTGCTTATAAAGTGTTTGACCGCAGCCGCCCTCCTGCCCACGGGAGGCCCAGGCTCCTGCCTTTCCTATTTTCATTGTATGTTCATGGTTCATGGGTTTTCACCCTGCCACCTCAAACGTGCGTGCACAATGCTTCAGTCAGGCCCTCTATCCTACCCTTGCTGCCCGCACCCCCTTACCTCTTCCTGGCCCCCCCAATCCAGCAGCTTTCAGGGAGCTTCGTGCTGTCTTCTTCACTCGCAGCTGCAAAGCAGCTCAGAACTGTTCACCCTCTGATTCTCTTAACCCATGACCCACAAGACTTTCACATGGACAGAGAAAGCGTCCTTGGAGCAACTTCTGCAGCTGGCCCAGCCGCCATAGCTCCCCCTTCCCCTTCCAGCCTTCCTGGTCCCTGGCCAGCATCCAAGGAGACGCTGGGTTTCCACGAATCCTCCCCAACACCTCCCTGCACACCCATGGCAGTGGCTGGACCCATGAGCTCTCTCATCTTTACGTCCTTGTCTTTCCTGCTGCCTTGAACTGTCTGCTTTCCTGCAGTTTCCAGCCTCCCGCCAACCCGTCAGATATCCATGGGCCCCAAGCCAGAGGCTTCCTCCATTCTAGCTGCAGGCTTGGAAAGGCAACCTGATTCCAGAAACCTCTCTTGTTGATTTTAATGGTGCATTCATGAGTCCTTTGTTTACTGGGGTTATATCTCTCACCTTCTGAATTTGAAAGCCCCTTGAAAGGGAGAGAAGTCAGGCCCCACCAAGCCTGGCGTCCAGCACTGAGCAGACTCCACACTGATTTTGAAATAAATAAATATCCCAGTGGTCACTAAGCACAGGGCTGCTGTAGGAAAGAAAGCTCTTCTGTTCTAGAAAATTAGAGTCACTTTCCAAAGCTAC